GGCTAATTCTTAATTTAAGCCCTCTATTCCAAAGCTAGAAGTTTTAACTAATTTTAAATTGCACTCCTTATCTTATCTCTGCAAGAAGAGGTTGATCTGTATTGCTTATCAAGCTTGTTCCATTTAGCACCGCTAAGTATAAAATCTCTTCACTTAGCCTGAGAAAAATAGTTTACAGTAAGGGACAACTTCATGTCCAATCCAACTTATTCCTCCTGAAATAGGGGGCATTGGGACTTTTAGTTTTACGGTTCTGGCTATTTTTAGATCGGTTTTTTGGTTGTGCGCTAAAAAACTTCGGTTTTCAGGTTTGTTGCGGTTTGCGGATTTTCTGTCGTTTAGCATAAATTGTTTTTGGTTTTCGTCAAGAATGCTAACGGATTTGCGGATTTGGTATCTAATGTGGTTTTCGGTTTTTCCCATTGGGTTCCGGTTTCTCTTTGATCAGAATGGAAATTATGCGCCTCCACTGATCGCGCGTAGCCGCTAAACCTCGGTATGCTCCACTTGTCACTACTGTATCGAATCGATTAGGGTTTTTATAACTTGAATGTGAAATTTTATCGCTTTTACATGTGATTTTCGGTTTTGATCTTTTATTTTTGAGGTTTTGCAGTTTGGACGACTTCTTCTACGGTTTTGCGGTCTCTACCAAACCCCAATGCCCCTTTCCTGAAAGGGACTAAACACTTCTTTTACTTATAGAGCCAGCATGAGATGGAATAGTTTACGTGCGAAGCCCAAATCTGCACCTTCTTTTGCATGTTTGGAAGAAAACCTTGAAAAGGTTAAGACAAAACCTTGAAAAGGGAAGAAAAGCTTGAATCTCAAAAACTCTTAATGTAATATCTTTTGGATGCAGCTCCACAGTGAAACACAAGAACAAGGATAATTTAATTACTTTTAAAGTATATGATTAGTTACATCCTACAGAGAGTATCTATGTTACAGATGTGACTATTATCCCTTACTTCTGACTTATTTGTGTACTTACTTCTTGAAATTATTTGTAACTTAGGATTATTTAGCAGATCCACATTAACCTATGCTGCCACTTAACTTCAACGTGCTTTTACAAAGTAAAGAATGTTTTTACGTATTACGTATATTTTAACAATGTGTTCTTATCAAGTGTGCAATTTGAATCGCTAAATGGCTGAAACAATACAAACAACTGTTTCTGTTCTCGTCAAAAACACCAAGTGACTCACGGTAACATGTGTAGTTTGTATACTCACAGATCCTGTAGAAGTTATCCCATTGATTATTTGAAATATTTGAGAAACAATGTGAAGGCTGATTTTAAATTTATCTTGCAGCTTGTGAAATGGAGGCTATTGGTCTGGCCTTTAATGGTAAAATTCCAAACAACAGCTTCACAGCTTCAACGTTCTATGATGGTAGTTATGAGCCTCGTGATGGTCGCCTGAATGCAAATGGAAGGGGTTGGGGACCCTCAGNATTGGAAGGCTCTGAGAGTGGAAGTTTATGGAGTACTTCTAACTAAAGGTATTTATTTGAAACTGACTATAACATAAATTGTCCAGATCAGTTAAAGAATGATTTAGTTAAGCGATCAGAAATACACAAAAAATCTTTCTGGGATACCACCTTATTAGATTTTAGATTTAAGTTAGGGAAAACCATGTCATCAGCAATGGGACAGTCTTCGTTCAAATATGCTTCTGCGAAAGATTGGAACGATCTCCCAAAAGAGTCAAGAGAACACAGCTTCTACTTCCTCTTTCTTCTTTTTCGCATTTCTATGGACCTCGACTTCGTCCAGGTCCATAAAAGTGCAAAAACATAACTCAGCCTAAATCCAGCTATCTCACGCTTGGTGAATAACCAACCTCACGCTTGGTGAATAACGGATATGTATAGATAGAGCCTTGGTATGGTAAGAATATTTTTGAAATAATTCAAGAGCCTACCATAAGAGAATTTGAGAATCAATAACTTTAATTCTCTTTGAGCCTCATCTCATCCACTCTGCTGAGATCCTTCAGCTTCTATGTTTGCTAAATTAAGTAATGTTTTACTAACATTATTTTTTATTCGTGCTCCATATAATCCAGTGTGTGATGTGATTGTTGTATTCCAAGTGCATTGAAGATTCTGGAACCTAGTAGGTTGCTATTGCAACACAATCGTTTGCCCAACTGTCCGTAGAGCGTGTCTTCACGCTTAGGATATAAATAATGTATATCTAATGAATATACACAGTCTCCACTAGTGATGATCCTCCACACTGCCCTTGGGAAAATCTAATGTTTTCTAAGTTCACAAGGATGATTAATTTACTTTCACATCAACAACCAACAAAGAATTAAAACACAGAAGTGTTGTTATTAACATTTCAGTTCCATCACAACCTCCTACTGCCTTCAAGTTGATCGCAAGCTCCTCTTCCAGCATTACAGCTTCCTGGCAGCTACCACCAATCTTTGCCAGACATGGAAGAAACATTACAGGGTTTAAACTTTTTTACAGAGAGGAGGACTTCGCGGGATGTTTTTCCTTCTTCAATATTACCGGTGGATCGACATTAAGCAGACTTGTGACTGGTCTCAAAGAGTACGCAGGATATGAGTTTCAAGTGTTGGCCTACACATCTGATGGTGATGGACCAAAAAGTTTTGTTGAAGTGGAAAGGACGATGGAGGATGGTATGTGACAATCCAGGGATAATGAAAAAACGTGCGCTTTTGAACCATTGGGAATTAGCGCTCTATAAATATTTAAGAAAAAACGTGTGGAGCCATATTTTATGAATTTTTCCACCTTCATTAAGCGTTACTTGCTAATGAGATACCAAACATGTGATGAGAAAGGCTTACCGTAATTTGCAACACGAAAAGAAACAAAATATTATGAAATGAAAATCTGAAATTTGCGAGATAGAAATCTCTTAATAATTGGCGAAGTAGAAATCTGCAATTTGCAAAATGGAAATCTGTTAATGATGTTTGAAATAAATTGAAATCGTTAATGGGGGAATTGACAATCTATTAATGATTTTCGAAAGAGAAATCTATAATTTGTGAAAATAGAAATTTGTAAATCGCGAAATGGAAATCTGTAATTTGCGAAACAAGAGTCTCTGTGGGGAACTCCTCAGGCGAGAGGATTCAATCGGTCAGTGCACCACAAGTTAAGATTGCATATGCAGCCCACCGAATCATGAAAAAACGACAAAAAAAAAAAACCAACTAGCGAAAGGTAGA